GTTTAGTTAGAAAATGAGAAGCACTCAGCATGATTCTGTGACTTGCATCGTACGCAACTTCTGGCACACGCACACTGGTTTCAACGTTGATCTGTTCAACTTAAGATTAGACTTCATTAATTTAAACTATGGCCATTATTTTCTTCTTCGTCTCTCATCCATCCATCACAAAAACAAAAATATATTCATCTTATCATCAATTTCAACGCTCTTCTAACTCATAACCACTTCACTTTATAGTTAAATAATAAGCAACATTAATTGGGTAAATATTATTTTATCTTAATATCGAATTCACATAACTGCAACTAAGATTTTTTTCCACGTTATTTTGAAGGTAAAACTATACTTCAAAAGAGTGTCTGTACTTTACCAGTCTCATCATGTACCTTCCAATTTTTTTATTATTCTAAGTGTGTCCCTGTCAAAATCACATAATCACAGAGAATCTTTTGACTGTTGTTTGTATGTGGTATTTGTATGTGCTGTTTATATTTGATGGGATGCATTTCTGGGTTGGATGTTGTATAGTATGAAATATTAACCGAGCGGTTACAAACAACCAACCGGATATTTAGGTAATCTGTTTATATCTTATTCTGTTTATATTTTATTGGGCTTATATTAGCTCAAGATCCATGAGGAAAATAATAAATACAAAGCTAGGGCCAAGAGCCAGGTACGTTCAACTTACTCTACATGACTCTCAAATACTCAATAGTGATAACCATTCACTAAATATCCAACCAAGAGCCGAGGCTCTTCAAATCACACGCCTAACTTGGGCGTCGGAGTACCTTTTGCAGGTACATCCCCCTCGTCAAGAAGGAGACCGATCGGTTTGCGCCAACACTGATCGGCCAACAGGAGGAGTTTGGAAGCGAGCGACGGCCCAGACGCGTCAGCAGGTTAGTCTCTCGGTCCCTAAAAGTATCTACCGAAACAGATGTATTTTTAGGTTGGATGGGATGAAGGTCGAGACCTTAATCGTAGTGGTTGAAAGAACGCCGATGCTGAGTTGGATGCATTTATGGGTTGGATGGGACAAAGGTCTCGATTGGATGCATTTATGGGTTGGATGCGACGAAGGTCGAGTTGAGACGTAGTGGTTGAGAGCACACCGGCGAAAGAGCAGTTTGCAGAGGTTGTCGCACTTGGAAATTGGGTGGACGGTTCATACGGCACTGCAGTTGGAATTGTGTTAGCCACACTTGGAAGTGGGGCTCATTAGACGGTAACTAGAAATGCGACAGAATGAATTTTTTATTCTCTTTGTTTTTGTTTTGATTTACTATTTTTTGAATTTGATTTGTTTTTTATTTTTTTATTAGTTTAAAAATTAAAATTTACGCATAATAAATATCTTTTAAATAAATAGATAATTTCAAAAACATTACATATTAACAAACAAATATAAATTTCAAAGTAATTATATTATAAACAATATTAAATAAATATCAAATATAATAAAAATTAAAAATTAAAAAAATGTTAACAATTCAATATAAAAAGTTAAAAAAACACAAAATACAAAAAATTAAATTTAAATTAATAAATGAATAAAACAAAAAAATATAAACAAATAATTAAATAATAGTTCATATTAATAAATAATTATAGATTCAAAAACCTTAAAAAATAAACTAAATTTTCAAAATTCAAAAAAAATAATTATATTAAAAATAAAATTTAAATAAATATGAAATACAAAAATAAAATACAAATTACAAAATATTAACCACAAAATGTTTAATATTTAAATAAACTAATAAAAAATATAAAATTCAAATAAAATTCAAAAACAATTAAATATAATAAATGTTTTCACCCCACTTCCAAGTTCAAAGCAAATAAAATTAAAAAACAATTAAATGTAATAAATGTAGAGTGAAAATGCTTCACCACACTTCCAAGTGTGAGAACCGTATTTCGAACTGCGTGCATGATTTAATGCACCTCCAATTGTGCTTAGACCATTTCAAATTGCAGCCGGACTTCCAAGTGCGGACAACCGTGCAACCCTCATCCAAATAAAAGAAGTCAAAATATTCTATGTGTTTTGATAGGGGCACAATTAGAATAATACAAAAATTGGAAGATGCAGGACGAGACTGGTGAAGTGCAGGAAGAAACATTCACTTCAAAAAATGTAATATATTACAGTGTAATAAAAAACAAACATTTTATACTATGATTATAAAATATAATATCTTATTGATAAAATAAAATCAATTAAAAATATACAAAATAAATTGAAATCTTATTTTATAGACCGGTTGTGTAAATTGAATTAAACTTAAAATTCACTTGTTAACATTATATCAAAGTCGTGATATATAATATATATTAACTAAGTTTTCAACCACCATCGGGAGGACGTCCTATCATTGTTTTCATTTCTTCTTCTTCCATTGTTCAAGTTCCTCCATTCACCGGTTATCAAGTTGCATTGATAAAAGTATTAGATCTAGTTTCACTCTTTATGCACAACTACAACCAAAAACCCTTCAATCTCTTTTGCTTTCGATCTGAGTTTTTTTTGTTTTCGTTTTTCTCTCCTATCTGATCTATAGAGTCTTATTCCCAACGACACCATTATTATTTTTTGCACATTCGTTCTTTTGACTAAATTGTATTTGGAATCCAAGATCGAAGACCAGACTAACGAAGATCTATAAACGAACATTCATAATAATAGTTATTTCGAAAATACTTTTTTTTTATATTAGATTAATTGTTCAAAAAACCTATCTAATATATATTCGACATATTACACTGGTGTATATTGATTTAATAAGTGTTTTAAAATCGATCTAATATTTATTTCACATTAGTAAGATACAAATTTTACCTTATAAATCGATTTTTGTGAAATTAAATTTAATTTAAAATATATTTTTTAATAATGCACATTCTTAAAAACTACTTCTATTTGTTCTAAAAAAACGTAGACTTAATAATTAAAATACAGAAATATATAGTCTTATCATTTTTCTTCGCATATTTAAGAACCAAAATGTTTTCATTTTCTAAACTTCCCTGTAAGTTCTTTAATTTTCCTAACATAGTCACTCTCATTATAGGTCTTAACAGAAATAGTGGTTAAGATTAAGTTCACCAGTAGACTTCAATTTATGTGATTTATTTAATATTTAATGTTTGTTGGAGATGCAATGAAACACTCAATCAAATACAATGACAATGATATTTTTTTGTAATGGTAATAATACTTTCGTTGTGGCGACATAGTGGTCCACCATAATATATCACTACGAACTACGTATTTCCAGTTCAAATGGAACTTTTCATGTTTCCTCACAGATAATAATAATTAAATTAAAATGAAGGATAAGATGCATATAATTATAAAGCTTAGGGTGTGCATAATTTAATTCAGAGAAATAAACCATGAGTGTATTTGTATGATTAAAATTTGGAGTGGATGTTTTTCGACAAAAACACTAAAAATGATGTAATTTAGTTTAGTTTTAAAAGAATTATAAAAATAAATAATTCCTATCAATTTAATTAAGAACTCATTATGAAAAAATCGTGTCTTGACACAATTTTGAGTTATAAAAAACTGATTTGATTTTAATTTATATTACAATATATTAAGTTGAATTAAGTTAACATAACTTTATTTAAAATTTAAAAATAAATATAACATATTAGAAATGTACTAAACCGTCATAATTTATATTAAATTAACACGATTTTAATTAAAATTAAAAAAAAATATTATAATGTACAAAAATCATATCAAATTGACGGCACTTCTTCACCTTAAAATTATACCTAACTCTTGTCAATTTTTGTAATTTTTTAAAATCTTGCATTGTCTCATAATTCCAAAAAAAAATTATAGCTTTGGCCGTGTTTGTGAGAACGGATTGATTTTAATAATAATAAAAAAAAAAGTTGGGTTGTCTTCAGTGTGGCGCCGCATATGACGGTTCCTTGTCCTTTTATCTCCACTGTCTATTCAGCAGCACCACCCTGTGGTATGGGCCACATCATAATCAAGCTTCAATACTTCAATCATAATAAATAAATAAATAAATAAATACAGTGCAACGTATAATCCCATCTTTTCATTATTCTAGTATTGAAATCCATTATTTATAGAGAAATTATGATTTTTATTATAAATTAAAACTGGCTACTGTTTTAAAATAAAACAATAAAAATAAGTATTTTTAAATACAATTTAAATTTCGATATATCATTTTAAATAAATTATATTTCACGTAGTTGTTGATTTTTTTTTCTTCACATAGATGGAGAGCAAGGTGTAACGTCTTATACTTTGAATAAAATCGTGATTGATGACAAATAGTAACAATAAGAGTAACAATATTGTGACAGTAAGAAATTTTAGAATCGATAACGACAAAATTGATAATATTAATAAAGTGATAATGTGGTGAAATGAAGACAAAATTTTAAATAATTATAATAGGAATAGTCGTGATTGATATAGCAATCCTAGTATGATGATGTTCTAAGGAGTTTTAGTTATTATAATAAGATCATGGTTTTAAGGATGATGGTGGTATAAAAAAAAGATAATAAGGATAAAAATGTTATAATAATTTTAATTTTCATTTGTATTTAAAAGAAAAAGTAGAGTAGAGATAGAAAATGTAAACCTTTTGGATAGGGCCAATCCCATTAGAAAGTAGAAAGGACAAAAACCCTAATAAATAAATACTAAAAGTTGACATTTCGAGGGTGCTACATACCACATGTTTCAGCTAACCTGAGCCCAATTATACACTGCCACGTGTAAAGCAGCGCTATTCGGTGGAGGTGATATGTGTCCATGGTCATGTGATGCCGTGGACACGTGGCAGTGTTCCATAGGATGACGATCATCGCAGAAAGGAATCATTGAAGTTGACGATGCAAGTAATTAACCCTTAATTAAACAAGAAAAGAACGTGATTAGATTATATTAGCTGTGGGCGCCAGCGATACTATATATAAACCCACAAAAGAGTCATCAAAGCGCAAGAGTGGAACTACCAGTGAGATCACCCCAAAATCCGACTGATCCAAAGCTTCTTTATTTTCATTTTCTTTAAGAAAGCAAAGCAACATCTACTGTTCTCTTGTTTTGGAATTGAGACAGGTTTTTCTCTTCGTTTGCATTTTTCACTTGTTTCATATTATCTTGTCTATTACAGAGCACGACAACAGTTATGGATATATACAATAACAGTAGCATCGTGCTGTCAGATTTCTTAGACCCCTGCAATGGTCAAGAGCTTATGAAAGCACTTGAACCTTTTATGAAAACTGATTCTTCCATAACTTACCCTTCCTTATCTTCTCCAAACTTCTCCTCAAACTATGACCAAAAGCCTTCCATCAAACTCAACCAACTCACCCCATCTCAAACGTTCCAGATTCAAGCCCAAATCCAGGTTACACGGGCCCAGTTTCTTAGCCCAAAGCTTGTTCCCATGAAGCAAGTGGGTGGTCGTGTTCTTTCCAAGCCCACAAAGCTTTACCGTGGGGTGAGGCAGAGGCACTGGGGCAAGTGGGTGGCTGAGATCAGACTCCCCAAGAATCGCACTCGTCTCTGGCTTGGTACGTTCGAAACCGCTGAAGAAGCTGCTTTGGCATACGACAACGCAGCGTTTAAGCTCAGAGGAGAAAACGCCAGGCTCAACTTCCCTCATCTACGTCACCATGGACCAAGCGTCTATGGTGAGCTCGGGACCTACAAGCCTCTCCCCTCTGCAGTGGACGCCAAGCTCGAAGCGATTTGTAAAAGCTTGGCCATGACTACACCCAAGGAAGAAACAGCAACAACATCGGAGTTTGAGGATGTTAAGGTGGGGATTCAAACAACATCCTCGCCCTTGTCGGATGAATATTCTTCCTCTTCTTCTGCTGGCTCCTCTTCACCCGAATCCGATATCACTTTCTTGGATTTCTCGGATTCTTATGAAGCAATGGACAATCTTGGGTTGGACCTTGAGAAGTACCCTTCTGTGGAGATTGATTGGGCAGCTTTATCGGAGTCATCATGAACAAATTAATCAGTTACCACCGTTCTCTCTGTTGAATATTGGATTAGGCTTTCCGTGCTTTTGTATTTAGGTTTGTTTGTTTTTTTCGCGTCTTGGGCAGCCACTGCAATCAAACTTTTAACTGTTGCAGTTGCTTTACCGAGTCAGGTTGCAGACTTTAGTGCAGATAGGTGAGTCACAGTGGTCATGGTTTTCTTGGTCTGCTGGTGTTTTTTTATTCCTTGCGTGACCAGGGGAGCTTCTACTTGTATTGTGTACTTGTTTGTTCTTCCAATGTAATTTAAGTAGTAATACAAGCTTTGGAAGTTATTGTAAAGTAACGATTTAAACAACTTAGTTTTTTTTCCCTCTATTCACTAAATCAGAGTGTAGTTTATCTGCATTTTCAATATACTGTCAGAAATTATAGCTGAATGCCGCTAATTTCACTTACGATAGACAGTTAAAAGTATCTTAAAAAACCTTGTACGTCTCTTGTGGTAGTGTTTCAACGTGGAGAAAGTTAATGTGGTTGAATTGGAAGAAAGTGTGAAGAAGACCCCAAGAAAAGATATAACCTTGGGTTTGTGGAGTTAACAGTAATGATAGTTAATAAGAATCTCTGGATAAATGAAGAAGATGCGCATAACTTTTCTGTCTTTGTGATCTCTGATTTTGGCTTTTGAGATTGTTGTTGTTCACTTTAGGTGTAATTGTTTGTATAAACATTTTGATTATGGTAGAAAAAGAATGTGAACGAGATCTGAAGTTGCAACTGAAAGATAATAGCGATTGATTTCGTGAGGAAGGGATAAAGCTAATCCTCCGCGTTCCTCATTTAGTACTTTACAACCTTTAATTGTGCGGCTTTGCGGCAACATAAAACAAAAGGTAAATAATCATCAATTTAAATAAAATAATGATAATAATAACCCGGAAATTTTTATAACTATGTTTTAATGTTTTAATCCCTATAAATTTGCCGGATAAATGTTTCTTTGTATACCCATATCTAAATTGAAAGTGCTTCAACAAAAAATATCATAATGTGAAGATAATACAGCAATTTTTAAAGATAATAGAATTTGATAATGTTAATTTAAATTTGAACATTATAATATTAATGTATTTATGGTAATAATGATAGATTTAATTAAATTTAAAATATTTATCGCTGTAATTTAAAATAACTCTGACCATGTACAATTCTGTGATTAAGATAAACACAAGTCCCACTGTTCCCAATTTTTAATTGAACATTTTTTTTTCTACTTTGAGTTTATATTTAACATGTCATCCCGATATTTGTAAAATAAGTTGCCCCTTAAACATATCAACACTCTTTTTATCTTTATTGGTATACTTTTCTTTATAATTGCTCAACTCATACTTAATGCTTTACTTAAATTCCAGCATTTTTTTTTTCAAAGAAGACATCAACAATCAAAAATATCATTATATTTCAATTCTTTTGGTTTATTTGTAAGTAAAGTTTATTGAACTTGATAACCTCTCACAAGTTAGAGCAAGTCATCGAATTCAGAATATTGGGTAATCCAGTTTGATTTCACATTCTGACCCAATATTGGGTAAAATGACGCTAATAACGGTACATTTCAGAGACTGAAAAGTTGGGTTTTCTTGAAGAGAGATTGAAAAGTTAAAAAACAAGATAGGGCCCATAAACATAGATGGGCTTCCAGAAAAAAACAAACCTTAAATATCCTAAGAGAAGAGAGTTGCTCCCTCCACCATCCCTGCACCTCCCCAATTTTTGTTTTATTTTAACACCCCCTCTAAGGGTTACTCCCTACACCACCCCACTTTGCTCCCTCCACCACCACATTTTTTTAAAATTCCAAAACTATCCTTTATATTTTAAAATATCTTACACCCCACCCCTTTTCTTCAACGGATGCCGTTGAAGACAAAATTCTTCCACGGACGTGCTACATCCGTTAACGGACATCCGTTGCCTTTTTTGTTTTTTAGTTTTTAGTTTTTTTATTTTTTTTGTTTTAAATTAATATATAAATATTATTTAATTTTTTAAAAATTATTATTTAATTATTTATAAATTAATTTTATTTTATTTAATAAAAAGATGTGTAATAAGAGACAGAGTATGAGTTGAGCAATTATAAACACAAGTCCCACTGTTCCCAATTTTTAATTGAACATTTTTTTTTCTACTTTGAGTTTATATTTAACATGTCATCCCGATATTTGTAAAATAAGTTGCCCCTTAAACATATCAACACTCTTTTTATCTTTATTGGTATACTTTTCTTTATAATTGCTCAACTCATACTTAATGCTTTACTTAAATTCCAGCATTTTTTTTTTCAAAGAAGACATCAACAATCAAAAATATCATTATATTTCAATTCTTTTGGTTTATTTGTAAGTAAAGTTTATTGAACTTGATAACCTCTCACAAGTTAGAGCAAGTCATCGAATTCAGAATATTGGGTAATCCAGTTTGATTTCACATTCTGACCCAATATTGGGTAAACTGACGCTAATAACGGTACATTTCAGAGACTGAAAAGTTGGGTTTTCTTGAAGAGAGATTGAAAAGTTAGAAAACAAGATAGGGCCCATAAACATAGATGGGCTTCCAGAAAAAAACAAACCTTAAATATTCTAATAGAGTTGCTCCCTCCACCATCCCTAGTGCTTCCTGCACCTCCCCAATTTTTCTTTTATTTTAACACCCCCTCTCCCCCTACTCTCCCTTTATTTCTTTCTCCCCCTTTCGTTAATTCTCTGGAGCCTCACCTCCACTCTCCCTTTCTCTCATTCTCGTTGAAAGAGTTGAAATGTGTGTCAAGGATGAAAGCATAGGATCCAAGGATTATTAAAATTTTATATAAGAATGCATTAATTGAATTATTGAGGATTTAAACACTAATAAAGTTAGTTGTGTTGTATATACAATGTGTTTGTAGTAAATAATATGAGTATTGAATTTGTGAATTAGTAGGTGTGTGTTCCTTATATGGGGTCATGGATGTTAGATAAAGAGAAGATCTCGATTTACGTGTGCTTATAAGAGGAGAAAATGTATGGTTGTATGTGGTTAAGGAAAAGAGCATGAGTTTTTAACATTCGTTGACGATGTGGGGTGGGGTGTGGCGATGTATTGGAATGTTCGTGAAAATTAATTATAGTAATTAAACATTATTGAAGGGCAAAAGAGGAATGAGAGAGGTGGAGAAAGTAGTCCGTGGTGGTGTAGGGAACAACTGTCGAGTCCGAATGCTCTCATAAAAGAGGAGAAAACAAATAATTAATATCTCGATTTTAAAATTTAAGGTTTTATATTAAAAATATTACCATTCACATCTTCAATGGACTATTTTTTTTTCTAAAATTAGAGTCATCATATTTGTTATCCTTTATTTTATTCATAAAATTCAAATTAATCTTTTGGTTTTTAAATTTAATTTTCATCATTTTGTTTATGTTGTGTCAATTTTGTACTTTTAAAATATTTATTGCTATATATTTTATTTTAAGATAGGATTTTGAAACATTTTTATATTGATTCAAAGCATGAAACTTGTTTTATGGAGTTTCATACATTAAAGCTATGGAACCTAACTCCCGATGATCGAACAAAAAAGATCATAAATGTGATTCATGTGAAAATTGAGTTCCTGAAAACACCAAAAATAATTTGATATTCATCTTTTTTCAGTTTTCTTCCCAGGACTCAACTTTCACCTGTTCACCGTCTTTATGATTCTTTTTAGCATCAATGGTGTTTTATAGCCTTTCTTTTATATGAACCCAATAGAGTAAGTTTCACTTATTGAATCGCTAGAAAAATTATTCAAAATTTATCAATCGATCCAAATTAAAATAATATGAACCAAATTATTTTTTTATAGAAAAAAATTACACAACATAAATAAATTTAATTTAAATATACTTTTGAATATTGATTGAAAGATATTTGGAAAGTACTACTTTTCTTTACGAATTTATACCCTTAATTTAAAGACTCTCTCATACAATTTTATACTTTTCTATAAATTTTATCTAATATGTTATCAGGAAGGGTGTTGCCAGAATTTGCTACGCCAAAGTTGTCCTTAGTTGAAATTTTTAACTCTTTAATTCATTTTCACATCTAATTTGATAAATTGGTGGGTCAAAAAGATGAATTAGATCGAACTAATTAATTGACCTATTTTTTAAAATTAATTTTTTTAAAAAATAGTAACTTTTTTATATTATATTACTTGAAATATATAAATATATAATATTATTATAATTTAAATAATTAATCTTTACAAATTAAATTCTAATTATTATTAATAACAAAATACTTGACCATATAAATATAGTAATTATTTTAATTTAGTTAATTATTAGTTAATCAATTAAAATATTTATATATGTATATATATAAAAGTTAAAAAAAAATATTGATCAACTAACGGGGGATCTAAGGAAAACGGATCGAATTAACCGTCTTACCAACATAACTAGAATTATTGTTTTTGTATATAGTTCATTTACATGTATTGTGTCTTTGTTTTTACTTTTATTATTTTGTTTTATATTATATATTTGGTGTTGATTCCCGTTTTCCGTGAATTATTTTGGCGTGGCATAGGGGATACCATTATTCTTGATGTGTTTGGCATGATTCGCCATGACTGCAGTTATGCTGAGCATATATATAGGCTTATATAGTTCTCTCTTTACATAGATTCCATGCATGAATGATGCTTACACATATATTTTCAATAGAATTACAGATATATTTATGACGTTGGTGAAGGAAAACAACACCAATCAAAGCATTCATACATGGTTTTCAGAGCACTGTGTTTTGTACTATTTTATTCCCACTGTAAAACGATTGAACAAGAAAGGGAGACAGTGATGTTATCACCTACACCTGAAATTGGCATTGATGCAAGTTCTTGATTAGGACAAATCCAACTTCTCTTATTCTCATTCCCAACTCATTTTTCACCATTCTTTTTACTTCAACCTCCATTTTACCAACTCAAAACCATGCTAATTATAGACTCATAGACTTTTTTCAAAATGGTTGGATTTCGTTGCACTTCAATACGTCAATCGGAACCAACATGGCTGCCCATAAGGATATTTTTTGTGGTTTCGGAATTCATTTTTGGCTTATTACTCATATTCATGGAATAATGGACCACTAGTGTACTGAAAAAAGAGAATTTATATATATATATATATATATATATATATATGATTTCGAAAATTCATTATTCAATTGGAGTATACATGTATGAAAAATCTTACACAAACGTAAATGATCACATTTTTTATTCGTGCTTATATAAGAAACATGTAT